GAGAGAGAGAGAGAGAGAGAGAGAGAGAGAGGGGAAGAAAGACCAAAAGGAAATGTTCATGACGGGAGAATATAGTTGGAGACAGAGAAGGAGCACGACGGAAAAAGAAATAAAACCCACAAAGCAAGATCAGGAGCTGATGAAGGGTGAGTAAAAGGCAAAGACAATAAGAAAAATCCAGGGGGTAAGTTTAATTGACCCTAACCGTGGACGACAATGAAAGAGAGGAATTTTTTTGGACAAGTGATAACGACGTTGCTTTTCGACTAGTAACTACAACGTCCCTTTTGGACCAGTAATTTCTACATTCCATTTGAACAAATAAAAAATGGGTCCATTTTGAACTAGCAGTTTTAACATTCCACCTGAACGAGCTAAATGATATGGGTCCATTTTGGAAAGGTAGCACGCATCGATGTCTTTCTCTAATTGTAGAACTGACTTTTCGTGTTGACTCTTCCGTTCGCTAAATTCAGTCTTTTGACAAAGATATAATTTGCGATTCAGACGGTTTGCTATGAAGGGAGGAGAATGTAGGACTTCGAGCTTTCTCAAAATCAGGAGTGTTCGGTAGAACTGAACGTTTTCTCTTATTCATTGATTAACTTATATTCGATGCCGCTAATAACTATAATCACTCTTGAGCCCGATTACTACCAGGCAAAATAAATTTACCAACTTAATTTATTGTCCAAGTTTGAAAGGGTATTACGTATACTGGTCCAAATAGGGCCGCACCTAATGCTAGGGAAACGATTGTTAGAACTATGAAAGCTAAAGCGAAACTGAAAATGTTCCACAAAAAATATAGTCTATAATAGGTACCTTCTGAATCTTTCAACACCTTCACTCTCAGACGTAGGCGAGCTGTTAAGGCTAACTAAGTCCAGAAAGCAAAATTTTACAGGAGAGAGAAAAATCTTCTTCATTCTTTTAACAATTGTACCGACAATAAGAACTGGAACTTTGGGCAAAATATTTCTTGACCAGAGGCAACCGATGCCACATATTAATAAAACTGCAATTGTTTCAATTTTCCAAATGTTGGGCTTAGTATATTTGATAAGCTTGCTGACAGAAAGCTCCGATTTTGTATTAATTTTGTTTATATTCAGATAAACGCTCTCTTGGAAGGCATAATTAATAGTAACATTATATGAAAAAAGTAATCATTTATTGTTTTCCACTTTATAACTAAATCCATCTATCAAAACATGAATAGAAATATTGCATGCTTTATGAACACAGAAACGTGTTAAGGAGAACATTATCAGGTATGCTCGACGAAAGAAATGTCTCCCAAAACGTCTCCAAAAGCGAAGCAGTTGCAAGTGCTCGGTAAAATAAAACATTAAAGGAAGCTTGGAGTGCATCCGCTACTTATTGCATGGATAAGCAAAGTACATGTGTATTGATGGAACAGATGTTTAAGAGAGAAAGATATTCTTCAAATTGTCCGTGGATAGGTAAAACTGAGGCAAGAGACTTCTCCCGAAGATATACTTTGGTAAGCAATATAGCACTGGCAACGTGTAGGTCCACCTTGAGCTTTCCAGCTGATAACCCTGGAGAAAAACACCAAACAGGCCCTTCCAGTTCCCATCCTAATCTTTGTTTTACTTTCTTCTGTCGACATCAGATATCTTTGCTTTGTCAACAGTTGTTGAAAGCTCTACATGGCACGATGTCATTTGAAAAGACCGTTCCATACTGTCTATTTTCCTTAGTCTAATTTTCCCTGAGGACGGGACTCTCCATCACGTGCCAGATGTGGGGGTTATCAGCCTTTGAAATCACTCACTACTGTAATCTTGTTGTTATAACTTTTAAACCTACAAAATGCCAAAATGACGTTTTTGATTAAACAATTCGCATGTACCTCCACCCTACCCCCCGCTTTCATTATCCCTCCTGTTCTTTCCTGAGCAATAGTGTTAATTCTGAACGGTTTTTATCATTCACGCCCCTGACCAGAGTCTTTTCGATATTTCTAACACAAAGATAAGTATTTTAAGGCAGAAATGGTTGATAAATTACTAAAATGCCGCTCTTCTCAGTTTGAAATATCATCTTACATTGCTTTGTTAATGTTTGCCTGCTCCATACCCCTCGTGAACAAGGTCCCCTTTTTTTCTTCGTCGATAACTAGACCGTTCCCATCCAGATTGTATTGCTCTATACCGCCCACACACTAAACATAGCCCAAAAAAATCTCTCGAGCTGAATGCATGATCTTCCGTTTCGTCAATCCACAAGGGCAGGCTTTTTATTTGCAGAAAAACAGAAAACCAGAACAGCTTTCAAATTGTCTGTCTGCAACCATGCACCCACCCAGGTGGCACGTGTGTTACCTCCCTCACGAAAAGGGCAGTTAATGGCATCGTTCTAATCGTTCTCGTGAGCCCTGTATAGCTAACATTCGCCGCTTGGCTGAACTGAATCGTATAAACAAGCTAGATAACTGGGTCGTGAGAAAAAAATGCCAGTCAGTGCCACCACGAACACTCACTATACAATTCGTTTTCGTAAGCGGTAAAGTTAAAATGAAGAGACGACACATTTAAAATTTCTTATGGAATAAATTTTAGAGTGTATAATAATTAAAAAGCCAGGTCATATCTTAATGTTGCCCACTGAAAATAGCAAAAAATTGGAGACAGCAAACCAGTACCATTGAAACAATACTGTGATTAACAGGTTTATCGCTGATGAGACAGACAAATGCCAGTAGCCATAAACAAACACACACATACACACTCACACACACACACAAACAAACAAACACATACACAGGTGCTCACAAACAAAAACAAACAACCTGTGATGCAGACACGCTATGAGAGGGGCTGATGGAAATAGAGAAAGAAGGAGACAAAGACCCAAGACGGTAAGATTAGGCAGGATATGGGGGCGGACAGAATGAGTGAGAGCCACAGAGAAGAGGGCGAAAGAAAGAGAAATGAAAATCCAGAGAAGTGGGTTGAAGAAAGACGGATAGATAGAGAGAGAGAGAGAGAGAGAGAGAGAGAGAGAGAGAGAGAGAGAGAGAGAGAGAGAGAGAGAGAGAGAGAGAGAGAGGTGAGA